TGGGGACCCCCAATTGGCAGAGCTGCCAGCATAAGATCTTATGCTGTTTAGAATCATCCTGGGTGCTGCTTCCCGATGGGGTTGGCATGGTGGCTCCAGAACCAGGAGGTGGGTTGTGGGGCATGGCACCCAAGGGCTATCCTTGGGGTTGTGGGCTGCCTTGGTACTGTAAAATCTAGGAGTCTGGGTAAGTGTCTCCCTCATTATGGGCCACTATGTCTATTCCCACCAAGGCCTCCTGAATAATATGGGAGGTCCCCACAAAATGGAGTATGGCCTGGTAATTTGGTGGGGAGGGGGACTCCCTATAAGAAGAGTTCTCTGAATTCGAGGTCTACTGGGGCCTCCTCAGGATTGGAGATGAAACCCGAGTCATCTGGGTTGCTATGTTCAAAGAAGTGATAGACCGATTGGACCATACTAATCATATGGAGAAGAAGTCAGGCTTCACCTAAGTCTTCCATTGGCTTTGAGCCTTTGCAGTAATAACCAAGGGAGAAGGGTGGGCTAGATGCCAAGCCATAAAAATCCAAGTAGCAGAGGAAGGGATTCTCCCTCTACATCTTTAGGGCTTGTGCCTTGGGTTTGGACTCTCCCTCATGATTAGAAATCTCAACTATAACATTGGAATTGTCCATGGCATCAGCCTTTGCTTTAATTCTGGTTTAATTAGTCCTGGGGCGGCCTCTCAGAAGTGGAGGGTTGGGTCACCTGTGTCTCTCAAGATTTGGCCCTCAGGCTCTGGGGGTATTTTAAAGGCTATGCATTTTGGGGTTCTTGGAAATATGGGCTAGTTGCCCCATTTTTGCATCAGTGAGTAAGAGCTCAGAGCCAGTATTAAACACTCTCAACAGCCAGTCAGCCCCTTTTTCTCCTTCCTGCTGTACAAAGTCTTTTCAAATATTTTGAATCTCAAGGCGTATAAAGTTCTGAGTTTCAGTTTCTAATTCTCTATTATTCCACACTGATTTGACCTTATGAATTGTCACTGGAAAGATCTGTGGTGGACGTCCCCAGTGGCCAGACTCCTAGGAGGCCACTTCCCTCTCCAGAGTGTCCCAATTGACCTCTCTGGGATTGGGGTCAACCTCCACTAGCCCAATGGTGGCAGGATCATTAGGTGGCTCCTAGACCCTGAGAGCATAGAACCAGTGTCTTGGCATGTTGGCACTCCATGGCACCGAGCAGCACCCAGGCCACCATTATGTGCAGTTTACATTTAGTGAGGAGCTTGCTAACTTCCTCGGGCATTTTAGTTGGTGCAGGCACCAGGTGCTCAGACTGTTTGTATCGGGCCATTAGATTTTGTGCCACCATGCACCAGGAGTGGGACCTACAATAACCTACGGGTCAGGGGATGAGGTGTGACAGCAGCAAGGTATATGCAGCAACAGACGGACTGCTGTCCTCAGCCATTCTTGCCTTTATGAGAAGCCATGACTTCCCCAGCAAGGGTGTCCCTATGATACAGGGAGAACCCAGAGAGAGTCCTAGAGCCTCCAGTAAGAACAGTGGTCAGGGAGGGGAATGTCCCTCTGCTCCTTCTAAGGGCACTGCTCGGCACCTTTATCCAGTAGCCAACAGCAGGGCAGGAGTTGCCACTCACAGGTCCCAGCTATTAACAAATGCAGCAGGACCTTGTGAAAATCTTAGCCAATTGTCCTGAGTCAGCAGCTGGGTCTGTGCTTAGAGTTGGGAAACACACCCAAAGTCTCACATCTGCTGGGGTAATTTACCCCTGTGGGGAGTTAAGAGGTGGGAAACACATCTGTGGCCCCTCAAACCAGCTCCAAAGAGCAATGCTCCAAGGTTCGTGAGGACCTGGGTTGCTTTTTTCAGAGCTTGCACTTTGGGAGGGAACTCAGGCAGCACTCTGCAGAGGCAGGATGCAGTAGCACAAAGCAGGGCAACCAGGTGCCAGCAGGCAGTGGGCCCCTCCCAGATAGAATTACCCCTCTGGAGAGCTAATCAGTAAGCCATGTGCATTCCCCATGGTCAATTGCAAGCTGACCCAATCCATCCTGCTTGTGAAGCCAAGTGTCAGTGACTTTGTCAAATGAACATTCGTTAAGTAGAGCCCCAGGGTGTCAGATGGTGAGCCTCAGTTCAACAAAAGACCACAGGGAATTAAAATAGAGGTTTATTACTCACAAGTCCTGGAAGAAGTACACAGCACGCCTTGAGGGGCTACGTGGGGAGGTCAAGGCAGGCTGCAGGCAGAGAGCTCAGCAGGACCTGGGACACACACCCTTATTAGGGTCCACAGGTGGAGTGCTTTGAGGTTCCTGGGATGAGGCCAGATTGGTCAATTCAAAACAAAAAGCAAGGTTTTGGTAAGTTTCAAGGGGGTCTTATCTAAGGGGAAGGTCCTGGGATGCCAGGGAGACTGTTTATCACAAGGGCCACTGGACGAGTCTCTGCAGGCTGTTATCTGAGGGCATGAGCTGGCAGGAGGGGCTAGTGTCAGCTCAAGACCCCTGCAGCCTGCTTGGACACATGGAATGGATGCCGAGGCAGTGACATTATGGAATAGTTTTGTTACCGCCCATAAAGGGTGTTCGTCTGCCCACCGCAAGATATCCCGATAGTCAAGAGGCAAGGTGGTAGGAAAGAAAAAACTTTTTATTTCAGCTTGCTAGCAAGAGGGAAGATGGCTGACTAATGTCTGAAAGAACCATCTTCCAGAACAAAGATTACCAGCCAGGTATATAGGGGGCTAGTCTCCAGGTGGGGGAGGCATCTGCTCTCCAGATAGGGGCATCCATCTGATCTCCATATGGGGGCATCCCTCTGATCTCCAGAAGGGGGCATCCATCTGATCTCCAAGTGGAGGCAGACATCTGCTTTCCAGGTGGAGCATCCATCTGATCTCCAAGTGGAGGCATACATCTGCTCTCCAGGTGGGGCATCCATCTGATCTCCAGGTGGGGGCAGACATCTGATCTTAGTTCCTGATAGTCTTTGGTTTTACTGGATATGCATCAGAGACCAGAGCAATGCCCTATACCCTGATCTTTCAGTTGTCCTCGGTGATGGCCATCAGTGTAGACTCTCTGCCCGGGAGTCATCACATTCCTAAGGAACTCAAGAAAACAAAGTTATCAACTTATAGCAGCTGAGAGGGGCCATAAAATCCACAGAGCATGTCTGGGCTAGTTAATTAGAGGTCATTCAAAGTAACAACAGGGTTTCTCTTCTACAATATGGCTTCCCTTATGTCAACCTGGTGTTGAGCTGGTATCAGTTTAGCTAAACTGGCAACAGATATAAATTCAAGTCTCCTTTTTACCAGGAAGTTTGTTCAGACTACAGGTTTAAATATTAGTTCTACTCCACTATTTTAATTTTCTTCTCAGAAACTCCAATTTGCACCAGTGTTGGATCTCCTTTGCCTGTCTTCTAGGTCAGCTGCTGTCTCTCAGACCCTTTTTACTTCTTTCTTATCGCAGTATCATTTTCTTGGTTATTTCCTTCTGTTCTTCCCTGTCCTTCATTAAATTTATATTGTCAACCTTATGATTTAATCATTTCTTATGTTATTTTGTCTTCTATTTCTTTCTTGAGTTCAATCAGATCTTTTTTTACATCTCCTTTTGTTTTTGGTCTATTTCTGTTCTGAATTTTTATATATTTGAGTTATTTTTTCATATTCTCAAATGTTTGTTTCAGCATATTTCATTCAGTTTGGAGTGTTCTGTTACAATTTTGTTCAGCTTTGTAGTTGGCTTTTGGGGAGAATATTTCATCAAGTTAAAAGCTCTGATTTGCCTTTTCATTCAGTTTGGAGTGTTGTGTTACAATTTTGTTCAGCTTTGTAGTCGGCTTTTGGGGAGAATACTTCATCAAGTTAAAGGCTCTGATTTTGTAGTAGTTTTGTATCAGTGAAATCTGCCTCTTTCTCTTTGTATTCATTTCATGGCCGTGGGTCTTGGTTGAAAGCACCCTCTTCTGTCAGTTCTGCCCTCTGCTGTGCAGTTTTGTGTATGGATGGCATTGGTGCTTGGGTGACAAGGAGAAATAGGCGTGCTCTGTTTTTCTTTCATTTCTGCAGGATCTTTAAATCTTCTCCCTCTTACTTTCTTCTTTCCCTTCACTGCCAGGTCTCCAGGGAGTACCTCCCCTTCTCTAGATATCTGATTCTCCATCAGACGCTGTTCTTCTCCAAGGCTGCCACTCTGCTTTACCTGCAAACCCCTTCCCCATGGTTAGTGCTGTGTATGGCCAACTTCAGCCTGTATTCAGGATTTTCACATTTAGCAGTGGACTTTCTATTTCCAGGGAGGATTGTGTCTGGTATTTATCTAAGTCTTCCTTGCCTCTCTACTATTTTTCACAAAGTCTCTTAAGCCTCCCTCCCTAGCTCCACACCCATAGACTAACTGAATTCTAATCCTGGCTCTCACATTTACTAACTTGGAAAAATTATTTGACCACTATAAGGCTCAAGTTTTCATGTGACAATACATCCCAGCACAGAGCACAGTGCTGGCATAAGACTGGTGGCCATTGTGGTTCTTGGCCTTGAAAGTAAACGTGGAAAGAAAGACTGAAGTTCTTTAGACAAAGCTTCTAAGGCTGTAGAGCTGGCCCAACAACGTCCCTCCCTTAAGAGGGATGTCATCTCTTCTCCAGCTGCCTTTCTCTACTTCCCATTGCAGTAACAGAAAACCACAAGGGACAAACATTTAAGAGCTTGTTGGGGTCGTAGTTATCACCAACCTCAAACCTCCCAAAGCAGTTTATTTCCCACACAAGCACACTGCAATACCTAGCAGATAAGGAGAGTAATGTTGCCTCAGTAGTTTTCAGTATCTCCTTAGTGCTTTCCTCTACCAGAAGGAACGGTAAAGTTCTCATCATGAGGAAAACTAGACATGTAAAACCATAATGGTATGGTTTTTATAGGCAGAGCCAACTATTTGATAAGCCTGATTCCAGATGTTTGACAAAACAAGAATATTGAGAAATGTTCAGCTAAATGGCATGAACTTATTTCCCAGGTCTGGATCGAGCCAACAAAATGCCCTCTCCTAGAACTCTGAAGACTCATCTACCTGTTCAGATGCTGCCACCTTCCTTCTGGAAAGAAAATTCAAAGGTAAGAAGAGCCAACTCTTCAAACCCAGTTTTGATCAGTATGGCCACAGAATGTCTCTATCTAAGTGGAGACAACAAAGATATCAAAAGATAACCAGTGGAGATACAGGGCAGATGGTGGCATTACCCCCACATTCCCACACACTCTATTCTGGATCCACCTTTCCTTCAAAATACTATTTCTGGGTATACACTAGGAAGTTTTCAGACAAAGTCGTTCTGATTGGCTGCCAATTAAGCCACATTCAAAGAGACTGAGCAGTGAAACAAAGCACATGTTTCCTGAGGAAGGCTATTATCTTAGTTTGAATCCTTCAAGAAACAAAAGCCAAGGCAGAGTAAGATGTGAAAGGATTTATTTAAGGAAAACCCGTGTGGGGAAAAGTGGAGCAAGACAAAGGAGGATGGAGAGCCACAAGACCATGACTCAGTGTTTAGAAATTGGTCCACGCTTACAGAGAGCATCGCTCGTGGAGCAATCTCCCAGGTACTCTTCTACCTCTTGTCCTCCATTTTCAAAAATTTTATTATTTTGACACTTTGAAATTCAGACCCTATAAATGCAGTGTGCATTGAATTTACTAGTGTTTCTTTTTGATATCTGCTTCATCAGTGAGTCTGGAAATCAATGAAATATGGAATATAAACCAAATATCAACTTATAAATTTGTGGTGAAAAGTGTAGGCACCCAGCAGAATCAAATGCTTGTATCAGCTGAACCAGCACACCTTCTCCCAACGGACAAGCTACTTTGGAAACCCAATGGCGGACTCTTTCAACTTTTGGGCTGAACCCTTACCAAGGAAACTATAATGTGTAGCCAAGACGCCCTCTCCTCAGTGCAGTGCTCAGACATACAATGCAAGTGATTGCTTTTGACTCTCCCTTTTTTCTGGATTTCCATGACTCACCAGCTCTTCATCTTGTCCATCTCCTAACTCCAAACAGGATACGATACAATTGAATAGGTTTTCATGTATCAAAATGCTATCCCATTCCTGAATTGCTTCCCGGAGATTACACGCAGGTCACCTTGACTTGTGAAAACTTCTTGGTTTATTCCCACAGATAGATAACTTCACTCATATGTTAATTTTACTGTATAAGAAACAATATTCTTTCCAACTGATATTGTAGACTCTGTGAGAAGACACACTAATACTTGGTTAGTCATCACACTAACACCTTCTTTTTGTAAAATCAGGCCTTCTAAAAATGTAAAAATCTCAATGGCAGCACCTCCCTTTAGCTGCTTAGAATTGTGGATTATTTGAGTAGAAAGTGAGCTTAGAGAGCTTAGTCCAAGCTTTCCATTTTATGATGGAGTGGTGAGCTAACTAAGGATCCCTGAAAGATGTTCACATCCTGATGACCAGAACCTGTGAATGCTACCATCTATGGTAAGATGGGCCTTGCAGATGGGATTAAGCTGAGGATCTTGAAATGGAAAAATTATCCTTAGTTATCTGGGTGGGCCCCAAATAGCCTCACAAGGATCCTTACAAGAGGGAGGCAAGAAGATCAAAGGAGGAGGTAGCAGATGTGACAACTGAAGCAAGAGATCGGACTGATTCGAGGACGGGGTCAAGAGCCAAGGAATGCAAGTGGCTCCAGATGCTAGAACCAGCAAGGAAATGGATTCTCCCCTAGAGCCACCAGAAGGAACCAGGCCTGCCGACAGCGTGACTTTGGCCCAGTGAAATCTGGCCTCCAGAACCATAAGGGTATATATCTCTTGTTTTAAGCCACTAGGTCTGTGGTAATTTGTTACAGCAGCAATAGATATCTCACAAAGATGGATCAACAGTCTCAGAAAATTTAAGCATTTGATGTTAGATCACACCCAGCTACCTGACTCCACATCACAAGTACACTTGAATACGTTCCCTGTCTAGCCCAGACTTCCCGTCTTCTAGTTACTCAGGCTTTGATTTGCAAAAAGGCAATAACCAACATAATAAGCATTAAGAAATATATTCACATAATAATTGGGCTTTATGGTTGTGTCACATTTTTGGTTTCCTAAGTGCTTTCATGAATATTGGAGCGAAATCCAGCAATAGGAAAAGGGGCAGAGAAACAGAATCATGGGAGGTGTGTGTTCGTCTGAGAGAGCAATTGGGGAAACGCAGTCCGGGAGGCAGGAGCCTGGGGTAATTCGCTAAGAGGAAAATAGGACTGGGTGACTGGTTGTGTGGACACAGAAGTTCTCTTCAGTAAGTGAGACATAGGGGGAAATGCTTGAGAAACCATAATATGCTCCTCCACCCCGGCTCTGCTGAGAGTGCACACAGCAGCTCAGGCTAGGATCAGAGGCTGGGTGGTGAGTGGGAAAAATGCGACAGCAGGACAAAAAGCAAAGAGGTCAGCTCTCCTCAGCCAAATCACACCTCTGCTTTTCCTGTGAGAAAACATCGTCACAAGCAGCTCCAAAGGTGGACTTAGCACTGCCCTGAGAGGTCCTGGAATCTCATCAGCAAATGAAAACTAGGAGTGATAATTCACCTGTAAGGCCACAATGCATGGTGTGCAAATGTGACTAGAGGGCTAACTGCTTTAGCTCCTTCTATCCTATAATCTAGTTAGATTCCCTGCTTAGTGAAAGCCAAGGAGGACCTTCCTTTCACACTGAAAAATACCACGGGAGCCTCCTTAACCTCCAGGAATATCATAGTTAGGGTGACTGTAGTATTTATCATGCAAACTTGGTACTTTTCAGAGAGAAAAGGGATGCTCTTAATTATGCTAAGACCACAGATATCAATTGAACTCTGCCTGGACAGCTGGAGGATACGGTCATCTTGATCATAGAAAACACATGGACATTCAATTACTCAGACGGGATAGTCTAAGATTTTTCTTTTCTGTCTTGTTTTCTCTCTGTGTCTAAATCCCCTTGCTGGCTGATCCGAGATTATCTATGTGGCTAGAAATGCCAAGGACTCTCTGGTGTCCTACTACCACTTCTCAAGAATGAATAAAATGGTGCCTGATCCTGGTACGTGGGAGGAATATGTTGAGACATTCAAAGCTGGAAAAGGTAAATAAAAGGAAATTGTGGTTCATGTTTCCTTATTCATTCACATACTGACATCAGAAAGGAAGGGTTTTCATTGACACTGTATTCATCAATGTCCTGGGAGGATGTAGATTGTTACCAGCACCTGTCAGATCGATGCTGTGGGGTCCCAGGTTCTTGGTCCACAGACACAAAAGAATTTGAGAATGGACACATAGCAGAAGTTTTAACAGAGGAGGATTTATTAGCAAAGCGAAAGTACACCCCCAAGGGGAGGGGCGGGCAGGCTGGAGGGGGAGCAACTGCAGTGAAGTTGTGGTTGTTGGTGGTTTTGAAATGTCAGTCTGCGGGCAGGTGAGGGTCTGGGAACGTGTGCCAATTGGGGCAATTGTCTCTACCTTCACGTCGGGAGGGGGAGATTTTTTCCTTACATAGACATCTCCGGCACTGTTATGGCAGTGATCCCCCACAGGGGGCTCAAAATCGCAATGCAAAGGAAGGTATAATGAGGCTTGGGGCTACTCTCAGTCAGGGTTGGGGGGAGTCCTGCATGTCAGAAGAGTCGCTGCCCAGGCCGGCCTGTGGCTTAGCGGCTAAGTGCGCGCGCTCTGTTACTGGCGGCCCGGGTTCGGATCCGGGGCGCGCACCGACGCACTGCTTCTCCGGCCATGCTGAGGCTGCGTCCCACATACAGCAACTAGAAGGATGTGCAACTATGACATACAACTATCTACTGGGGCTTTGGGGAAACAAAAGGAGGAGGATTGGCAATAGATGTTAGCGCAGAGCCGGTCTTCCTTAGCAAAAAAAAAAAAAAGAGTCGCTGCCCAACAATTAGGATGCTGCACCTGGTGGAGTGACCTTTTTGTCAGTCGGGGGGAGTGTTACACGTCTGAAGAGTTGCTGCCCAGCAATTAGGATGCTGCAACTGGTGGAGTAACCTTGCTCCCAGCTAATATCTAGCTTCCTGCCTATCTCATAGATGGCACACTCAAACTGGGTCATTTGGGGAGAGATTAGCTAAGAGACTATTTAGAAAGCTATGGGCAGAGTTTAAAGAAACCAACAGGTGATAGTACAATATTCCGGGGAGAGCGCCAGCAGAGAGCCATTGCACCCTGGAGAAAGGAGAGGGCCCCTTAGCAGGAGCCAAGTCCTTTGGTAGGGGAAACAGTCAACCATGGTGAGCCAACAGGGAGGACATCAGGGAAATAAACACACCATCCTCACTCTCCTCCTGCCTCCAAAAGCCTTCTGAGGTCAAAGGAGCCCATTGACACAGTCCATAGAGGTCAACCACGCAGGGTGGAAGAGGATGGAGAGTGGATCTGGCAGGGTCAACAAAAGATACCCAGTGCACCTCTCTTCCTCCCGTTCACCATCACAGAGAGTAAAGGTGCCCAAATATATGCTAATTATGGATTTTTCAGAATGAAAGTCTTCCTTTCAAAATCATCCTCTTAGGAAACAAGATTTATTGCATAACACTGATCTATGCAGTGATGCAAGGGAAATAAAACTTATGAATCCTTGGCCACAAGACTGTATCTCATGTGGTAGTAAGTTCAAGGGTGGAAATATAAACCAAGGAATCCAGAATACTTTTCATCGTCTCCCTAAATATTAAAAAATCCCTGTCTTCCACAAATAAGAATTCTGCCCAGGGTCTTTGTCTTCTGGTTGTATTTATTAAATGTCCTTTTTTATTTGAGACATTCATGTTCATTTTATAAGTTTCAAGTTGGTATTGATGCCAAATCTCTCTCCTTCCCCTCAGTGCTGTGGGGCTCCTGGTATGACCATGTAAAGGGATGGTGGGATGCGAAAGACCAGCACCGCATTCTCTACCTCTTCTACGAGGACATGAAGGAGGTGAGGACCACGGCAGTCTCCATCAGCTCCTCCCACATTCTCCAATGCAGCAAACACCACTTAGAACCCTGACATGTGCTCTCACCCACAGAAAAGCCTTCAATGTGAATCCTCTCTCTCCGTGACACTATTTCCAACTCAGTTTTATCCTCAAAAGCTCTAACTACTCTTTTGGTCTTCTATATTTTCTTTGCTACAGTTTACAATTTCCAAAAGATCCTTCCTCCTCAGGAAATATCACATGCCTTTATGGTCGAATTAAACCTGACACTTATGAACCGTGTTTCTCCACCCACAAAATGGGTGTCATCTCATTTTGTATCTTATGGAATTATTGTTAAGGGTTTATGAGATCATATTTGTAAAGTGCTTAGTTGTGTTCAATAAATTTAGTTTCCTTCTTCCTCTTCCATACCCCACACCCATATAAACCCATATAAACATTAGCAGGATTGATCCCACATATTGGGTCAGACGACTGATTTCTCCATTTCAAGTCATTGTGTACAAGTGGCATCACACGTTCACCCACATGACCCAGTGGATTAGTGTCCTAGAATCAAAAAGCTACTTCTTATGCCAATGCTAAGAAGAAGTCCTCTGAAATCTAATCAAATGCTATAGCTCCTTTTTTCTCCATCTCTGATCAGAAAGAAACAAGGTACAGGATTCACATTTCTGGGGCAACTTGAGATCCCTTTTAGTCATCCTCTTACTGACCTTCTGTTAAACTCATAGACTCTTTTGTCATCTCTTATAGCTCAAATACTAGAGTTAGCCATACTGTGCCTCACCAGCAGCACTTTCCCTCCTTTGAATGACCTTTCCTGATCTCCCCCAGGACATATAATTCATCTTTCCCATCAAAGCTCATGGCACTCTCTCTGTATGGAGGCAGTGTATTTTCTGGGCCAGGTATTGCAGTTAGTTGTGTTTACACTTCATCCCCTACTGCCAGGTAAGGCAGGGATGGCTCTCTCCTTTGTGTTGTGCCTCACACAGTCACCACTTGAGGAATATTCATTGAATATGGTTGAATTGATCCCTTAAATCATCCCTCCCCAAACACTATTTGTCCAAACAGAATGTCATCCCTAATGGAAAACCCAAAATTATTTGTTTTGTGTGACTGTTCTACATGCAGGACCCAAAGCGGGAAATTCAGAAGATAGTGAAGTTCCTAGAGAAAGACACGCCGGAGGAAGTTCTGGATAAAATCATCTATCACACCTCATTTGACATCATGAAACAAAACCCAATGGCCAACTACACCACTTTACCGACCAGCATCATGGACCACTCTATCTCCCCTTTTATGAGGAAAGGTACATAAGACTTATATTCTAAGATGCCAAATTAGACTCTGTGGTCCTCATGATCCGTTTAGGTTTTCCAGTGACATTTCACACACCATTACTTATTCTTGTCAGTGACAGGACAGAGGCAAACTTCCTTTTTTTCCCCATTCTCCTGCTGGCTCTAAGGGTGCATGCTCACTTCTCCCTGTACTCCTGTAGCTATCACTGAGACTTTGCCTTGTTTCAGGGATGCCTGGGGACTGGAAAAACCACTTTACTGTGGCTCAGAATGAAGAATTTGACAAGGACTACCAGAAGAAGATGGCAGGAAGCACCCTGACCTTCCGCACAGAGATCTGAGAGCAACTGGTCAGGACTTCCTTACTAGGTTTTAGACATTTGAGCCTCATAACCAAGGATTCTTAAGACAATGACATCCTTCCTCTAATCCTAAGCTTTTCTACACTGTCCGTAGATTCTATGCCACTATAATAACTTCATTAAATGTAATCAAATCCTGAGTAGATGTTTAAAGTTAAATGATATGATCATTCATGTACTCACCTGCCACATGATACTACCTACACTAAGGCAAAATAAACACCCGAGTGAACTCCATCACTAGTTTACAATAGCCTGGCCTCCCAGAGGCAAATTCATGATAAGAGAGAAATAAACAAGAGTAGAGATTCAACATAAGAGAAAATGAACAAGAGAAGCAAAGAAGATGAGGAGTGACCACGAGGGAGAATGTGAAAGGGGAACCACTTTTTATCCTTACCAGTCAAGAATGAGACACAGTGCCGGCCCTGTGGCTTAGCGGTTAAGTGCGCGTGGCTTAGCAGTTAAGTGCGTGTGCTCCACTACTGGCGGCCCGGGTTCGGATCCCGGGTGCGCACCGACGCACTGCTTCTCCGGCCATGCTGAGGCCGCGTCCCACATACAGCAACTCGAAGGAAGTGCAGCTATGACATACAACTATTTACTGGGGCTTTGGGGAAAAAAATAAATAAAATTATAAAAAAAAAAAAAAAAGAATGAGACACAGAGGATGACCCAGCTCTGAGAGATATTAGGTTACGAGGTACAGAGGATGAAAGGAGGAAGGGAAGCCAGTGAGCTGCACCTGACTTGGGCAGTCTCAAGCCGGAGATGGTCTGAATACCAAAGAGAAAGGCCAAAGTTGGGCAACAAGTGATGAGGAGCACACGATTAACATGAAACAGCCCACTTCTGTGGCCACCACAAGGCTGGAAAGCAGAAAAAGATTTTATATTTCAAGTGGACTTCTTAGACAGAGAGGAAAAAAGCCTTAGATTAGCACAAGGAAAAAATAAAATACAATAGCCAGCATCACATGCACTTTAAGGAAAACTTGAATTGATATTCCCTTATCTCTGGGAAGAATCATGTTTTATGCTTCTTAAAAAGACGCTTCTAGCAAAATTGTCAGGATTGGCCAACACGTGTAATTGTGTTCTGCTGCTTCTTTTTATTAAAACCTATCTCAAGAAAGTGTGTACCATCATTTACACAATTTGTACAAAGATCGGTGCATTATTTTAAAAGGTCAGGAAGGTGCATTTTGTAGGAGTTGTGCTTTCCTGTGCCACTAAATCATACGATACAGAAAATTATCTGCTCCACCCAGGAACAAATTAAGCTCTGTTTGCATTCTTTCATCTTTCTACTTTCTAAGGTAAACATGCGACTCATTAGCCATGTGACAAATAATCCGATATAGGATTTACGCACAGTACTGAGCTGCACCGAGGAAAGATAAGGTGAAGGGAGCCAGCAGATTGAATAGCACATAAACTTTTATCAGGAAACCCTCACACCACGTGTCTTCAGTGTACATTCCAGGAACTACCTAAAAATTTAGACAGCAAGCACGTAACAGCTCCTTCTCTGTATACCATGTAGCAGAGGCATATAGGAGGTAATGGTAAGAAATAGGCAATGTGTCTAGAGTTTCCTACTAGGCAAAACTTGCCTTTCATCTGTTATAAATTGTAAAATTACTTTTACTTTAATTGTTAAAATCAATTCCATTCTTATATTCTCCGTAAATTTCAGTCACCGAAAGTATTTATGGACTTCTCTTACAAAGCTCTGCTATGTCCTTTAAAAAAATACTTGATGTATGTACTCTGAAGAAGAATTAATGTTTCATTCAATTTGAAAAGATCTTTAGTCCCAGCACTATAAAATAAAGATACACCCATGTATCCTGGACGATCCAGTATTCTCAATGATTATGGATATGTTTAAAAGAACTTTTACTCTAATCACATATACATATTTACACACACACACACACACACACGCTCTCCTACATATACCACAGTCATGAAAGATCAAACTGTAGCTGTTCATAGTTAAGTTACTTTGAAACCATTCACTTAGAAGGAGAAAAAAAGCAGCAATGGGAAATGGAACTAGGAGCTTGGAATCATGAAACTTTGGAATGAGAATTAGAAGAAGGTCACACTGTTCAACAGCCTCACTTTGGGGATGAGATTTTTGGGATGAGAAGACTAAGAATCCAGGAGCGGGGCGGCCCCCCAGTCAGGTCCGGCAGAAATGGCATGGATTGGGGCCCAGCCGCGACTGGTGCTCCTTGCCCTGCACGCTCCTGGAACCACGCACGTGGCCAACGCCGCCTCATCAGGCTGCAGCTTGCAGCTTCTTCAGTTCCTCTGCGTGCGAGAGCAGTGCCGCCACAGCTTGAGTGTCCAGGGAGCCTTCCTGATTATTTAACAGATCTCCTAACTTTTCTAAGGGGCATGTTTAGAAAAAGAAAACAACAAAGCCTTGGTGGAAATATGCTTAGAAAGGCATTTCTTCCCGAAGGGGCCCCTGGCTCAGAGTGCCTTTATCATGGAAATGTCTATTAGCCGGAGGGAGCCCTGGGCAGAAACTGCCCCTCCACAAAGTTGAGTGCAGCTGCCTCTGCGCCCCACCCGCTCTCCAGACCTCCCGCCCCATTCTCCTGGGATCCTGGGCATCCTTTACTCTCAGGTACCATACAGGGCCACATCTCATCCTGCCCCGGCCCACTGCCTGCTGGCAGAGAGAGGACCTGATTCCTACTTGGCATCAAAGTCCATGTGTCTTCTGACCCTTACCCATCTCACCCCGAATAAACTAGTGTGGGTTTTGCTGTAAAGAGCACTTTAAAACATCTATCTGAGGCAAATTTAGTCCATATAAACTTGAGTATTCTGAATTCAAATATGGGGAATGCCCACAACAAATGAAGGGGAGAGAAAGACTAGACATGAGAATAAAATCTCTAAAAACTTTCTAGGTATCGACTCTTTTTGGGGGGCGTGGGGGGACCTTGAAGGAACTAGAGCTTGTAGTAAAGGGATCTGACAATCTGCTTTCTTCCTCTAAGGGGTTTACTTTGAAGTGGAAAACCCACACCTCCCTTCTTCATTGTCCATGCCCTCCCCTTCTCACTCCCTGTGGGTTGTTGGTCTAGGATCACAGGAGTTGGAAAACTATAGCCCCTGGGCCAAATCCATATTCATTTGGTATGGCCGGGAGCTAAGAACGTTTTTATATTTTTAAAAGGTTGTTACTGTCCATGCAAATAATCCACAATCAATCTATAAATCAAAATTGGGGTAAGTTTATTATGAGCCAGGTTTAAGGACTATAGCCCAGGGCCTTCCTTCTCCAAGGAAGGAAGGGCACCAAAGGAGTGGGGTGCACAGAGTGGTTATATACCGTCTTGGAACAAAGAGCATACATCACATGTGACAGGAGTATCTCTTTTACTACATGCGTAGCCAGCACAGCAGGTCAGTGGGCAGCAGGTCACAAAGTGAGCACAGCAGGTTAGTAATTAATCCTTAGTTCCCAGGAAGACCTTAAAGAAAGTTAAGTTCTTCATCCTTAAAGAAATGCCAATACGGGGGCAGAGGGGGGAGGGGGAGGTTCCATCTCTATCTTTAAGGGCATTGTTCTTGTTTTGGGGACATAGTAAATGTTTAAAGCAGATGTACAATGTGTGCTCAACAGGCCACATCAGGCCCTTTTGGAAAAACAAGGTCAGGCTGAATTAGTTTTAAACCAAATGGCTTCCCCATATCCTCCAGTATCCTGTTGCTTTTCATTTACTCATCATTACAAAAACAACAGCAACAAAGAAGATGTGACCCACAAAGCCTCAAATATTCACTCTCTTATAGAAGATGATTGCTGAGCCCTGGTTCAGGAGAAGCCCCCAGCCAGGCCTCTCCTGCAGGCAGAGCCCCTGACCCCTGTGGGAGATCAAGATTTGGCCACCCTGAAATCTATCTCTTTACCTTGGTTGTTTTCTCTAGGGACATTTGACCTCCCCCACTAACTGCCTAAAGAATTTGACATGGTGGCTCCTTCCTGGAACAGATCTATCATGATGGCT